CCTCAATGCATTTTATAGTAAAAAGGAGAGGTACGTAACTAACAATGAAATTTGACCAGCTACAAAAAGAAAATAGTAAAATATTACAAGCTATAAAATTCTAGTAATAACAATCTGGATGTTAATGATATCAAGTTATAATGCTTAAATAACAGAATGATCAGATATTTTAATAATTCTCAAATAATTTCTCACAACATTTTAAAAGATGAATTCCAAGAAAAGTAAAACAAAGATTAATTGGCCAAAATCTATTTCAATTAAAGTTTTTATCTTTTGGGTAATATAAATTGTATAACAACCATAAAAAACATGAAATATAACGATGGAATTTTCCAAATAATTAATGATAAAATGGATGAATGTTTCATTTTATGATGCACATATTCTCCTATATATATATTGTGGCATACAGCAAAATGTCTTAATACTACTGTAGTGTGCAAGCATACTAGATGTTTTCTACCTCCTATAATTACTAAAGTGAATTTAAAGTTAACCTAAAACCTAAAACTTTTTAAAATTATCATGCATATGAATAAATGTAGTTTTAACTATAGAACATTGGTCAAGGACACAGCTATGTTTCTTTTGCTATAGTTACCTATTATTCTGGGTCATTCACTTCTGGTATAATATTACATGCACTTTCTCATAAGAAAGAATGCTGTAAATTAGAACATACTATGTAAAAGTAGACAGTAATATTTTCCACTAGAAGGTCATGTAATACTTTAAGTTACATCCTCCCATATTTTTCTTTTGGAATTACCAATAGTGACATAAGTCACTGAGAAGGATGACACTATAGAATTTTGTACATAATGTTATTCTCTCTCATTTAGCCCCCTCTCAGTCTGGTAAGTTAAGTTCAAGTTCTTTGTTTAGCTAGAAATTTTTTCCCTCTGTATAAGAAGTAAAGTTAACTAGTTTTTCATAAGTATCTTATTAAATTCTTAGAAGAGTTTAGTGAATTAGTGATTCAGTAAAGACCCTGTCTTTTGTCTTGTGTATTTGTCAATTTTGATAAAATTTAAGTGTTGAAGTTAACATTTTCTACCATTGAAAACATATTTCTGATAGGTACTTACCCAAAGCTATCTCAACCTTGATTTGCCCTCTAAGCATTGCTAAAATTTTCAACATTGCATCAATCTTTTATACCCCTTCATTTATGTGCCATTGCAG